AGCCTTTAGTTTCCGCAGAATGTGAAACAGGCAATAGCATGTTCTATTCGTGGCTTTTGGTCACAATGAGTTGAAAGCCATGATGATTGGGTCATGTACCACTTTATTAGTACAGAGCTCGTATGCCACCTGGCTGGCTCCCACAAATAGTGCCCAAGATGTCGGGAGCGCAATGGTGCAACTGTCTGCCTGCCGCTAATTATCCTCCGGAAGGAGAACAAGTTTTTCTCATTCTATCTTTCAAGACAAAAGTGTGACCGATTTTGAATTTTCCAATGGCATGAGGTAGAGTAAACCCTTTGATCCATCATGAACATCGACGGAAGTGGTCGTTCGATTTGACCTTAACATTTCAACGGGATCATGCTGGGGGACTCGAGGATGCGGGGAATGCGCGACTCTGCGTGGCGATGGCAAGTGGCATGTTTTACCGTTTTTGACGGCTTGAATGGACGGGACTTTGTGTTACTGGCGGGAAGAGCGTTGTGCCGTACGGCTGGTGGTTGTTTGCTCATTATCTACTCAAAGATCAACATCTCTATGGCACTTAGGCTTCAGCCCAAGAATCAAGTACAAGTAGTTGTCAATCAAACGGAGTTCTTTTCTCCTTGTCAGCTGTTCGACGGGTATACTAGGATGTGAAGAAGAGAGCATGTGGTCCCTTGAATATCCGGATAGCAATCTGCCTAGTCCAATCTGGTCAAGTTGCCAACTTGCTGCTACCAAAGCGAACACAAAGGAGGTCGTGGAGAACCACGCCGGCGCTTCAAGTGTTTTCCTTTGGGTTCGGCATGACACCATGGCAAGAACGCCGTCGTTTTGCAAATAAGTGTGACGGCGGATACATCTCATTCGTAAAACTGAAAGTTCAGTCCTAGCCCAAGTCTACGTGTGATTACATCCATGAGGAATTTCGATTCTCCGCTATAATTATATCCTTGATGGGAACAGTCAGTGACACTGCATTTGATAAGGAGACGGTTGTCTCTTTACTGCGACAGCCGCCGGCCCATCTCCGCCGATGACTCAGCGATAAATTATGGCTCACTATGACGAAGTTTCCGAACTAATATTTTGATCAACCAGCATTTCTCCAGGATAACCACTCAAAATGAAGTCCGAAAGTCTATCCGCAAAGAAGTTCATATATCACCAAGAGTGTAAATGATTTCGCATATAGTGCACATTGGCTGAGCGGTCAATCTACAATCTCGAGGCGTCTTTCGCCCTTCTATAACATAGCCACGAACCTGACTCCCGTGGCAAGAGGCTTGCAGACTCCACCCTAAATCGCCGCTTTTGGAAGGTGGGTTCTCGCGTAGAGGATAAATATCGATCATTCCTATCGACTCCCTGGAATTAACTTCGAAGAAATCAGACTATCTCATTCCCAAAAACAAACACTTTCATCCGAATACTATGTCTAGGGACTGGGGCACTGGAGGCGCTGGTCAATTCACGACCAAGACCTATACATCAGTTTATCCAACGATAAATCCTATCCCCGTGAAGTTGCCGCCATCATTTGTGGTTTGTGTTGTTGGGGCCTCTCGAGGAATCGGCACTGGCATTGCGACTAGTTATACAAAAGCTGGTGCATCAGACCTCATTCTAGCTTCAAGGCGCACATCTGGCCTGGAAGAGGCTGCAAAAACCTGTAAACAGCTCAATCCAGAGGTCCGTGTACGGGTGATACCGTGCGATATCACTTCGGCTCAGTCTGTTGCAGTTCTTGCAGAGAGTGTCAGATCGGAGTTTGGACGACTCGATGTGCTTGCCATCAACTCAGGCTACTCTGGCCCTTGCTTGACAAGGATCACCGACGTGGATCCCTCGACAATGAAACAAGCCAGCGAGGTGAATTACATCGGCACCTTTCTATGTGCCAAGTTCTTCATTCCACTGCTCCTAGGTAGCCCCAACGGGGCTAAGGCTTTTGTGATAGTCTCGTCAATGGCTGCCCTTCTGGTGCGTGGGCCAATCGCCAATGCTCAATATTGTGTTAGTAAGATGGCTCAACTGAAACTGATGGAACATGTCCACGAGGAATACGCTCCAGAGGGTCTTGTGGCCTATAGCGTTCACCCGGGTGCTGTGGCAACTGAGCAGGCGATCGACACATCGCCGGAGGTTTTCGTCCCATATCTGACAGACAGTCCTGAGCTCTGTGGCGCTTTCATTGTCTGGCTGACGAAGCCAGGAACGAATACGCAGTGGCTGAGCGGTAGACTACTAAGTGCGAAGTGGGATGCTGATGAATTGCAAGCACGCAAGGAGGAAATCATTGAGAAGGATCTGCTAAAGACTAAACTAGTATTAGGAAACCCTTTAATCTAGAAGTTAGAGTTAGAAACTAATGAATTGACAAAGCCAGTCATGAAGTCAAAAATGGGACCATGAATGCCTATTTCGACTTTTTATGTCTCATTTAGTAAATGATGTTGGGCCGAAGGACACGCTTCGCATTGATAGTCAACTGAAATAGTCATATCACAACAAGTGTTGTTGAGATCTCCTGACTATCTCAAGTTCATAGCACATTCTTGTGGAAAACTGACAGTTCGAGGTAAGCATACCCCAAATCTTTAATACCAACACGCACGAGACATCAGATCACATCAAAGCAATTGTTAAATTCTATATTACGAACTTATAAATGAGCTGGATAGCGGAATGAAACCGAGACTTCCTAACCATGAATGCTGTAGACACAGCACCTGCAACTGTTTGGGACCGAGCCATATTTGTCACCGAGCACACTCAACTTTCGGTCCGATAACGACTTGGAGCTTGACAGAGACTTTGAGACAAAAATGTCAGAGTAGTGCCGGAGATCCTTTAAAAAAGACATTACCGGGGTCATATCTCAACTTCACCTTCCTCAGTGTCGCTAGATCATCCTTCCCATAGACCTTGTCAGCCTGATATTCCTCCGGAGATGTGAAGTTCATATATGCTGTATCCAAAGCTACCTCACTGTCTCCAATCTTTCTAGCTAGATCTTCCGCCCAGTTTTCAACCTTCTTGAACTCTGGATCGTTGGCCGACCCTGACGGAGAAATCGTTCCGGCAATTCCCACGACTAGGTGTGGTCGGCGGGTTCCAAAAGAGGTATCTAGGGATGGTCGAGCACTGACTCCATGTACATTGTGGATGATGAGACCGACTGAATCGCCCACCGGAGGGTTCTCAGCTATGAGATTACCGAGCTCAGGGCCAATGGTTCCAATGATCCGCGAGGTGAAATAGTATGGACAATGAACCATTGGAATAGTCGCAACTAGACTTTTCAGTGTAGCTTCTAATCATCAGCCACTCTGCTGGATACTTTCTCATATAATTGAATTTTACTTACTATCATTGACTGTGTTTAACAAAACGGTGCCAAGCTTGCGGATCTTCTCAAGATACAGTTTTGCTTGAATGAAGTTACCATGCGAATCCGGCCACGCAAATAAGAACGCAAGAACACGTCCCATGCCCGGCAAGTAAGGGACAATAAAGTCACCCGAGAAAGAGTCAGGGAAGTTTGTCTTCGTTAGTTCATCAAAGCCTTTCAAAATCCTTCCCACATCAGAATAATCAAAAACCACGAGCCCACCAAGTATCTTCGGGTTCTTGTAGAGCTTTACGCGCATCTCCACAATCAGCCCCAAAGTACCGGAGCCTGCGCCGCGGATTGACCACAGCAATTCGGGGTCACTGTCGGTGTCAACAATTTGACCATTGGCAACGATGATTCGAGCTCCTAATATCTGGTCGACTCCTAGACCATATGAGCCCTGCATTAACCCATAGCCTGCGCCGGTAGCCCAACCAACATAGCCCACCGAGGAGCAGAAACCCACTGGGGTGAAGAGATTGTGTTCTTCAAGGAAGCTCAAAAGATTTGAACCGATTGTCCCACCACCAATTCGGGCATAGGTCCTATCACCGGCAATGACTACACTATCCATTGCAGCCATGTCGACCACAACGCCACCACTAACTAGACTTCGTCCCCAAAAATCGTGTCCACCAGAGCGGACAGAAATGGGTATTTTATGATGGGTGCAGTGGGCAATAACCAACGTGGCCTCTGCTTCCGTCTGTGGGCGAATGATGGCTAGAGGTACTATATCGACGGCTGTATTGAAGACGGCACGAAGGGCACTAAATTCCGGGTTCGATCTAGTATATACGAGCATGGACGGGTTCTGGTCGAGCAGAGGAAGAAGACTTGGCGCATCAGTAGATAAGGCATCTTTTGAGACCCCTTGTGGACTGGAAAGGCGGTATTCCCGTCCTGCTTCGATATTTTGAGACATCTTGGCGTCTTCCACTTGCTCTGTATTCTCTACTTAACATATCTAGACATAGCACCATCCGTCTTTGGTGGTAGTGGACACACCCATATATATATATATTTGCTCGATGCTCAACCTCAAAGAGGTGCGTCGTAAGTTTTGTGATGTAGTGGCTGTGAATAAGTCGACAATGATCCGTTCCGTGGAGATTCGGATGACACACTGCATCTTACAGTCTTATCCAATCTTCTCAAGGCCGCCGTTGCTGATGCAGGTCCAATGAGGCCACAGAACTAAGTCTGTGATTTGGATATTATTAGGTTGCAAGCTAGTGCTGTGTGTTTTCCGTGGCATTCAGGCGCTAGCCCGCCCCCGTACCTGCATCATCTACGAATGTGAGGACTCTGACTGGCTGATAGATACGTGAAGCTCCCTGCTGAGAAATGTAAGCTACATCGGGACTTATGCCATCGAATTCTAATCCGAAATGTAATAATTGGTACAATCTTGACGCTAGAAAAGCATAGCATCCAGATTGTATAAAGAATTTAGCATTGAATCAAGTGACAAAAGAGTCGGCCGGCATATCCTAATGATTTCGAATTCATTGCCTTATGGATAACCAAATGAATACCCACAGCCGTACTGATACTATTGTCTACATATACATTACGCCTCTGACAGGCCTGTATCGATTTGATAACTATCAAAGCCTCAATCACTTAAAAATCGCAATATCTCCTTACCGATCAACGTCGTATGGCTCTCGATCGCAAAATGACCTGCATCTATGAGTTTCACTTCTGCTTTAGGCAAATCATTCTTATAGGCCTCAGCCCCTCCATGGACGAATATAACGTCATTCTTGCCCCAGATAGCCAGCAAGGGGACCTGAGAATTCCGGAAGTACTCGTGGAATTTGTCATAAAGCGCAACATTACTCCGATAGTCGAGGAATAAGTCCAACTGGATCTCCTTATTGCCGGGCCGCTCCATCAATGCGTAGTCCAGAGTGTAAGACTCTGGAGCGATCGTGTTGGAGGCGGGAGTGCCGTCTATGTATTGGGACTTGACTGCATCGTATGTGAGCATCTGTAACATTTGTAGTCATTAGCTGTCTGATTGAATAGCGAAGGATAATATACTACTTACGTAGTTGGCAATCTTGTCGCGATCCTCAGGCGTATTATCGCTGACCCAGAATTCCTTGATAGGGGCCCAAACATCTCCAAGTCCCTCAATGTACGCATTGCCGTTTTGGGAAATTATCGCCTGAACAGCATCTGGGCGTTGTAACGCTAAGCGATAACCAACTGGAGCACCATAGTCAAATACATATACAGCAAATTTGGCTATGTTAAGGACGTCCAAAAATTCAGAAACAGTATTTGTAAGTGTCTCAAATGAATATTTGAAGTCTGCAGGAGCCTGTGTAAAGCCAAAGCCTGGTAGGTCAGGAGCAATGACGCGATATCTGGTGGCGAGTAATGGGATGAGATTGCGGTATTGGTGAGAAGATGCAGGGAAACCATGAAGAAGCACTAGCACGTTCGCTGTGTCCGTCGTAGTCTGCTCACGATAAAACATGTCAACGCCACTCTTGGGCAAAATGACTCTCTTAAGTTGTATGGAGCCCATTTCTTACAAGTGTAACAAATTAAGGCTTAAATAGAAGGTGTAGTAAATATTGATCGTGACGTAAGATGTAATCTGAAGTGGTTCAATATTGAGGACACGGGTGGCACTTTATATCTGGTAGGCTATTCACACAATGTAGACAATTGAGTAAATTATGCTTGGCGTTTTATTACCAATGAATTTTCTAGGTAGTCGCTTGCGCCCTTGATCATGGCAGTAATAGTCAACTCACAGGGAAAGTTATTGCGCTTTTACCCACATTGTGGGGCTTAAGGATCCTACATCACAAAGGTGCTTACTCAACAGGGTGGAGTTAGGACGAGCAGGATGTTGGCTTCCGATCACTAATCATTCGCTACAAGCCATGTTAAAGGCGCCTTTTGGCCAACACAAGGGCATGATTCTATTGCTTAGATCTTACTACCAAGAGCGTCATAACTCTGAAAATCTTGCGGAGTTATGAATGTCTGTGCTTAGGAAGACCGCGTGGCCACAAATATACGCGGACTACAGTGATGCTACGTGTTGAGAGCAGAAAGCCATGTCATGATCATTCGCTCCTCGAGTATTTGTTCAAGGATGAGCCAGCAAAGTTTCTCCCTTTCACCGTATTGACAAAATGCTGGCATTCCGGGTAATTCAAAAGCAACGGAGAAAAAGCAGTGCGACCAGTGGGGAAGGAATCTAATACACGCGAATTGAGGATACAGGGAGGAAATGCAGGACGAGTGTTGAGACGAGAATCACAATTAGTGATGTGGAGCTGAAAAATGCTCTGATTAGACGAAAAGTGGTATTTTGCAAAGCTTCAAAAAGGTTTCTATGAGATAAAGGATGTCTCAAGACGTCACTATTACACAGTGTATTGATTCCACAACCTTCCATCAACATCCAATAGTCGTGCATCACTACCAGATTCACCGTTCTTTACATCCATCACTGCGATATGGGTCAAGGAGGCCACGAGGCTCCTGTCGTGACTGGCTGAAATGATTCGGGCGCCAGCGATACTGCGGCAAACTCCCCTGGGACTCCAGGAGGCGGAGGGGGGTAGATGCTGGCATCCCCAAAGTCCACGATGCTACCATCAGCCGGGACATTACCAAAGCCATCCTGAATTGGTAGGCTGAAATTATTGAGCATGAGCGGGAGATAAGTTTGTAAATCATCAAAGCTTGTCGGGAGTTGTTGGTACTCTTCAATCCCATCTGGACGGGGGTAATGGGCCATTTGACTATTATCAAATAACATTTCCGTGGTAGGAAAAGGAGACGTCACCATATCATCGATTGGGATGGGAAGAAGCGGAGTATTGCCCGGAGGACTGCTGGCGCAACTTCCTTCGGGTGCATGCTTCTCTTTGTCGCAAATATCCTTCCGAGCCATGCGGAAGATCGCAAGCGGATTGAGCACATATTCTGGGGTATACTGTACAGGGCTACCTGCCGTAGAAAGACTATCAATAAAAGTTAGCGGGTATGACAACAATGGTGATAGGATTTCTTTGACCTGTCGCTGTCTTGTAGAATGGATGGTAGAGAAGTGTTTTTGGTCTCTAGCGAAGCGGGAAGGCTAAAGCCTTCTTTCTGAAGCATATGCGTTGCTGCGATATACTATACAAGGTCAGACTGGGTTCCAATATCTAGATGATATGGTCTGGCTTACGAGAGGTTTTGCTAGTGAGTGTATTGGAATCATCTTTTTCAGGGCTATAATGTTAGCATGGAGAGCCAGCACTGCAAGCTTCTTCAAGCTTTCGCCTTTCTCAACCGATGTACCGAGGTCGTTTGAGATATAGTGTACGATAACACGCGATGAATCATGAGCAACAACACTTAACCAGGTATCAGAAAGCGCTTCCGGGCCATATCGCATAGCCTCCTCGTAGATAGACGAAAGAGCCATACAGTGTTCAAAGCATTTATCCTGTACTTGTTTCAAGAAGTCTGTCCGCTCCGGCGGGAATTCGAAAGCAGCCCGAATTTTGAACAGATCTCTCATACCGATTCGAGTCAAGTCACACATCGTCTGATGATACGTAACGTGAAGGAAGAGAAGGCCTCCCAGCTGTGAAGATTCCTTGCGCATGTATATTGCGGTTCGAGAGAAGTGGAGACTACCAGGTAGACTGTTATACCAATGTTGGAAAGACGCCTCAAGCATTGAGAACTCGGACTCTGGTAGCCATGGGGATTGCGCTTTGTCTAGATGCTTAACATATCTATGATTCTCCGTCAGAATTATCTCTGTGTCACGATAGAGCGGCTTAAGACTGACCTGAGAACCTTTCTTCGCAAGCTAACAAGCCTCACAAAATGTGCGTGAAGATCGAGAGACTCGATTGGACCCTTCATTCGAGCTTCTGCGGATATGAAGGGCAGATACGTGTTTGGCTCCAGCGCTTCCACAATGGACGGCGTTTGAAAGTCGAAACTCCGTTCATTACATGGCAGCTGGATCTTCATGTCACCCTCTCCGATGAGAGTAAGCTCATCCACTCCACTGCCTACCCAGGCGTCCATGATATACACGCTCCACATCAACCTCCGCCTGGCTTCCCTCGATGAGGGAGATAGTCCTGACTTATCAGTGCAGAGGACGTCTGCAGACGATTCGAGATTGATCTGTAGGGCTTGAGCCATTCGAATACCCAGGCCAGTCAGCATGAAAGCACTGGCATAATTTCCTATCCTTAACTCATGTTCGTGTAGTAGGACAACGGCCTAACAAGTACGAGATCGAAGTTGTCAGTTCGGGCCCATATACAGGACGTAGCTGAAAATAGCTCCGAGATAGCATACCATTGTACTTTCCACCGAGATGTTATTCAGGTTCATGAAGAGCAATTGATGGGCTCTCCTCGCCCACTGGTTTCCCGCCGTTAAGGCAAAGGCCTCATTCTCTTGACATTCTTCACAAAACTTGACGGCATAGAATCTGCGCTGAGTTAACGACTTGTGCCAAAACAGAAGTTTGAAATATAAAGCTCACTTGGCTCCAAGGGCACAGATGACGTGGAGAAGAATATTATGAGTATTGTCCTTATAGCTCACATCTGACCAATCGTCCAACTGTTGCATCAATGTGGGTTTGTGAATGAAGCCGAATGAGCGTAGATTGTGAACATTAAGAAAATATTCCTCGACAAGATGAATCATACGCTCCTTGTTTGGCAATTCTGCAGCGAGAACCCTATCGCGAGAGGTTTAGATATAGATCATCGAGGACACGTATAAGCCCATAAAGGAAATATAGCTCACCAATAGTTGCTTTTTGTGCCTGGAGCTGAATTGCCTCCATTACACAACGCCTCAGGAGATCTTGTTCCGTCGGTTGATCTCGGTGTGCCCCCCTGGCTCTCATGTCGAGTACCGTCCGACGAAGAAAATGCGTGAATCTCGTCTTCGGTCGAACCTCTCCTGGCATGTTCAAGGCCAGTCGATGCAGCCTCAAGCCATGCAGGCGCCTGCTTGCCATCATAGGAACATTCGATGTTCCGATTACGACAACGAAGGCATGTTGGGCGCTCTCCACTACATCTGCTCTTGGAAGACCGACACGTCCGGCACGACCTGTAGGTTCTAGACCGTCGAAGGCCGGCCTGCGTCCGGAGAAGATCGCTTTCTGGTTCGCCTTGCGCCAGAGCATGGTGGTAGGCAGGTGAGTTTGGGCAAGGCAAATTCAACCTTTCACAGTTCTGGCAGCCTCCAGGTCTCTCGTCGCATTTGACCTGCCACGGTTAGTACAAAGGTCAACAATCCCCATTACAGGGAGAATGCTGTGGGTTCCAACTTTACGCGATCTACAGGTACGGCAACCTGCGCAGTGCGTCTTGTCAGTGGGCGTCTTCCATGGAGTCTCGGACCCGTCGCACTCACCTGTCCGCGACCTTTGCTTCTCTTTGACCGTTATGGTTGTTGCATTGCCGACATCCCGGCGCGTTGGCTTACTATTCGCTGTATCCATGTGGGCGCCTGGGCGGGTGCTGACCCATGTGTACCCTAAATAAAACAGGACTGTTGCTGCTTTTTAAATATTATCAGTACGAATGCCTTTGGAAATAGCTTCGGAGATTCTCCTTCTTCTTGAAAGCGTCCGGAACGGTGACTTGAAGAGCGCAGACAGAATCTTGATCTTGCCTCCCGTTCTTACGATCCTTGCTTGCATTTGGCCATCAGTGGCTGGGTAGCCGCAGCATCGATTCCTTCCACATGTCCTGCCGCATACCGGAAATCTACAACGAAGAATAAGGCCGAGTTGGGGCAAGCTATCAAACCTGAAAAGAAACGTCACGGTGCAACATGCTTGTTGTACATCAAAGATTAGTCCTAGATTGAATTCAAAAAAGTCCCTAGCAGACAGGGGCCAAGCATGTCAGAACCACTGGATCCTACGCCCCACATCGCCAGAACTGGCACACCATACGAGCGGGCCGGCTGCTCGATGACATAAAACACAGACCTGCAGCGTACGCCAGTCGATCCATTTTCCAGTGACTTGGAGCTTCGGAGGGGATTTAGGCCAAATTTGTTCGTAGGTCCTCCAACCAGGCTTGCAGGAGTAGGGCTGAGCTAGGATGTCGTTACGAGAATCCCGAGTTGCCGCCGGAGATATGCTCGGCTATCTTATCACGGCATGTACATATAGCTTCTTGAAAATTGGGCCTGTGCGCTTTTGAGATATGTATACGAGGTAAGTGATGATCAAACCATTACTGTTAGTTGAAGTTCCTGCTACTGTACTTGGCTCTGTGATTCATGTTGTTTCACCAGCAAATGATTTATCTTCGTCCCTCGCATGTAACATAGCGCATCGTAATTCCCCATGGCATGCGCTTTTGCCACCCCGTCCTAGCGTATTGTTGTGGTAGCCCGCTCGATTTGCTTTGTGTTACTCTATAAGCGCGTACACTCAGCGCCAGCAAGGCTGGAGGTATGAATTATTTGGTATATCACCTTGCTGTGTCAGAGCTATACCGTTTCCTATAAGACGGGTGGCCA